TAAACCCCTCAACCCTAAACCCCATTGCTGGGGTCCCCGGAAAAGGAGGAGGAGGAGGATAGCGCTCTTCTCGTAAGGACCCTGAAGCGAACCCTGGCGATGAGACACCGAAGCCAACGGCTGCAGACCCAGTGAAGCCTGTTTAGGGTTTAGGGTTTAGGGTTTAGGGTTTAGGGTTTGGGGTTTAGGGCGCACGGATGGCTTTGAATATGAGTAGCTCTCTGAATTAGGTCCCTTTTTAGCTCCCCAAAGTAGTACGGCGCCCTTACAAAACCCGAAACCGGACCAGAGATAGTTGCGGCCACGCCTAGGACTAGGAATCCTACAAACTGCCCCCCCCCCCCCCCCCCNNACACCCTAAACCCTAAACCCTCGGGTTCAGGGGGTGCGAGATTCTGAGATGTAGCAGCTTTGGGCCTCAAACCCGGGGGGGGGGGGGGGTGGGTTTAAGTCATTGGTCCTAAACCCTGAACCCTAAGCCCTAAACCCTAAACCCTAAGCCCTGAACCCTGAACTCTGAACCCTAAACCCTAAAATGCGCCTAAGACTGCCATCCAATCCCGATTGAAGAAACGTAAAAACGTCATAGTGTGACCATGCTGTTTTGGGTTTAAGGTTTAGGGTTTAGGGTAGCCTAAGAACCACTCCAAACAGACCCTTGAAGGCCGTGTGAAAGGAACACGATGAAACCCTGATTCAAACACTCCTATGAAGCCATGATTGATAAACACCCTAAACCCTAAAGCATAAAAACCTAACCCCTAAACCCAAAACCCTAAACCCTAAACTACACCCTGAAGCCCCGCTACACCCTAAACCCTGGCCCCAAACTCTAAGCCCTGAGCCCTAAACCCTACCCTACCTAAACCCTAAACCCTGAACTCTAAACCGCTACACCCCCAACACCCTGGCCCCAAACTCTACCCTAAACCCTAAACCCTAAACCCTAAACCCTAAACCCTAAAAAGCCCTGAGCCCTGAGCCCCTCAAAAAAGGCGCCTGCTGCCGGCTGGGCCCTCGTCGTCTCCAGGCAGATCGAAGCCCACCTGGTTGGACACCCGCCAGCACCTTGGGTTTTAGGCTTTCGGGTTTAGGG